TGAACGCCTCCGCTTCGGGCCACGTCGCATCTCAGCCTCCTGGAAAAAACTCCCACGAATCTCCCCTTCAGTCTCAGTCGATGGCCTCCGACCATCTCCAAGGCGACGCTGCGCATCTTTCGAGTGAGTCTCTTTTCTTAAATCTTTGCCGCACCCAAGGAATTCTCCCCTTCGGGGCCTAGAGACGATGACTAACGTACACCTCAGGACTGGACTCCACCTGTGTGAGGCGGGTAGGACCTGGGGTGCTGCCAGCTCCTATGTGAGGCATTCACAGGGGAGGCGACTGCCTTGGGTGTTACCTTGGAGGCATCCAAAGGACTGAATTTGCAGTTTTATTTTTTTATTTTTTTTATTTTTTTATTTTTTTAAAAACCTGGAGACTTTTGGCAAAATGTTAACCTTTGCGAAATCTGCATAGAGTGTACACAGGTGTCTGTTATTTTACTCTTCATATTTAGCTCTGTATTTGACATCTTCCTTATGTAGGAAAAAAAAAAAAGAAAGAAAGAAAAGAAAAAACTTCCTTTAATGCTATGCCCCTGGCAAGGGAAAGTCAAAATTTAAAGGTACTGAGATTTCCTGTTGGGAGTAAATCTGAAATAAATTTAGCAAACACGTCCCTTGATCTCGAAGTTGCTAAAATCAGATCGATCACATTTGCACACAGTGTTTCATCGAGGCTCTGTCCAACCGCTTGCCCAGGTTCACAGCCCAGCCCCCTACCTGTTAGCTGTTACTCAGAAGTTCACCTAACTCTCTAAAACTTCACATTTTCCTCTGTATATGGAGATAATCAGAGCTCCTACCTTGTAATGATGACAATAATTCATGTAGAGCACTTGACATCATGTGCCATATGTACAAAATACTAAAATATATATATGTATATGTATATAAATAAAGATATAATTACATAAGATTGAAGTTAAATGGAAAAATATCTTCTCTTCATTGGCCTACGCAAAACCATGAACATTCACTTCACTGACCACCTCTTCTTCTACTCCCAAAGACCAATATGCCCTGCTTTATTTATTCTCGGTGCAGCTATTAAATATTTAAAAGGATTTTTTAGTTCCTTTTCGAGGTATCGATATGACAAGAAAGCAGCTTTTACTGTTTCTGGGTGATCAACACCTACTGAGAGTCCATAGTCACTTCCTCCAGGGAGCCCACCCTGCCCTTCTAGGGAGAGGCTGTTAAGCGACCCCTCTTTGTGCTCCTCTGCGCCCAGGGCTCCCGTCTCTCATGCCCATTTCCTGCACTGCTGTTCCCTGTTTACTTCTGCATCTTGTCTACAAGGCTGGGCTATGAGCTCCTTGAGGCTGGGCACTACGTTTTAGTCATCTGTTGATTTCAAACTGCCCACATAATGCCTGATACAGAGCAGGGGCTCCATGACCGTGGGGGGCAATTAAGTGTGCTATCTCCGATTTACAGATGAGAATACTCAAGTTCAGACAGGTCAAGTAAGCCTTCGTATGTGTTCTTTGCTGTGTCTGGAATGTGTCTCCCACCTACTAGTCCCAGAAGATCCCAATTCCATCTTCAAGGTCAAAATCAAACAAGACCACTTCTGTGAGGCTTCTTCTGCCCCCTTCTGGCTGGGGGAGGTAGCACTTTGCCCCATAATTCCCTAGCACTCTGCATCTGTCATCGTTGGAAATATTTTCCTCCTCCTCATCTGGCTCTGAAGCCCTGGGCGGACGAGGTCTCCATCTGATAGTTTTATCTCCTTCATATGTAGGTTTTGAGTGTGCATTTCTGTTCCAGGTGATGTTCCACGTGCTAACAATATAGGCGTACAGGACATCATCATTATCAGTCAGAGCTTTTTGGGTTCCAGTGGATGGAAACCCAACTCAAAGTGAGTTTCACATTAATGAAAACTCCAGGCAGAATTTCAGGTGTCTGAGAGTCTATTTCTGCTGTCTCTTCTCTTTTGTGTCAGCTTTATACTTAAAAAAGCTCTTACTCCATGGTGGCTCTCAGTGGCTCTGTGCCTACAATTTTCCAGTTTCCAGTCCAGCAGAAAGAGATCGCGGCCTTCTGGAGTTATGACAAGAAGCCCAGTTTCATTGGTTCTGGAAGGGTCCCATTTCCATGGCTAAACCAATCACGTTGTCAACAAGTATGTGAAGCTCCAAATGGTTTGGAGTGGGCCCAGTGCTGGGAGGAGAATCAGTCTCTGTGCCTGAACCATGAACAAAGAAAGAGGAAGAGGTGATTCCCGAAGGAAATTACAGGCACTGCCACCATAGATGTCAACTTAGTATTCTTAGTGACCTTGCAGTCCAGTGGGGGATAGAGAGAAATAAAACATCAGTTTCAATTCATTGTGAAAGAGCGCTGGTGGAGACATGCCTGAGCCATGTATCACGGCTGAGGGCCAAGGCAGAGTCGAAAGAGTCAAGGAAGGCTTCCTGGAGGAGGTTACACTTGAGCTAAGTCAAAATAGGTACTAAAGAAATGGCTTCTGAGGGATTGAATCAATAAACACCTTATCCAAAATCACCTAAGTCATACCTTTGTAGAACTTAAACTGAAATTCAGTAAGCCTTTAATATTTAATTCTAGTGAGTTTGTCAAGCTGGACTTGTTTCTGTGAGGAAATGGTTTTCAAATTCCACATGAAATCAGAGGAGGCTAAGAATAGAAACACACTTCAGAAGGATGGTCGATTGTTCAATCGAACTCACGATCACGTATTTAATTCACAATGAACATGAAATACTGTACATTTGAGGCGACATCATTCATAGCTACTATATTTTACACGGCCAGTCTTCAGTATCCCATCCACATGATGGACTAAGTAGGTCTTGCGTGCTGACTCAATAACATAAGTAGCAAAAATAAATGCATGCATAGCGGAAGTCATTCCAAATTTTAAACAACTGTTGCAAAATTGAACTTCCGAAGCACACAGGAAAAATTAAGTTGAGGTCTGTTCACACTTTTCCCTTCAATCTTTATGTGGTAATCGTCAAACTAGCTCTGATTTCTTTTAGGTGATGAGAATAATACTCAGTATCACGATTGGTTTAACTCATGTTTATCGCTGCTGGAGAATCTGCAGTCATTTCCACTGTGGCTTGAAAGCACTGCTATATATTTATTGATAGCAAAGAGTTTTCCAAGGCCCAGCGGTTCATGATATATGTTCTGTTTGGTGCCTTTTAGAGATTCCCAGTACGCGAAGTTGCAATGCTCTTTCCCCACCCCATTGCAGGCAAAACATGATGTTCTAGCCCGGCGCGGTTTTTAAATCTTGGCTCTGGCCCCTCGTAGCTGTGTGACCTTGAACAAATTTCTTCATTCTTCTCAGTCTCGGTCTTCTCATTTGCAAAACTACGATCATGGTTCCTATCTCACAGGTTTGTTGTGTTGATCAAATGAACTGATTTATGAAAGTTCATCTCATACTTTCAAACTGACATATGAAAGCTCTGTGAATTATAAAGCATGCTACAAATTTAGGCATCATCATCATCATCATCATCATCAGAGGTAGATGTCTGATATTAGCAAAAACTCGACAAAGTCTTTCTCCAGCATTGAGGTAAAAGGCAAGCCCAATACTGTTTATATAGCATGATCGTTTATTTCTAATGACAGGATATCCAATTATTAGCAGAAATTTTCTAATATTTGATAATTTTATCTTGTTACTCGTGACAAATTGTTTGAGCTGACATATATCTGAAAACTGGTTTTTGGTATGTAGAAATTTTAGTACGATTTTGCTGTTTTAAGATTAATCAGCAGTGATTTCTAATTCATTTATTTTTATTTTTCCTTTTAGAAACCAGTTTGTTGGGAGAAGTCTCCTTTCAAACGATTCTACTTGCTGCATGTTTGATCATTTGTGCATGCGCGAGGTAATCCGCGTTTTATTTTCATGCAGTGATGTTTCATAATTAATGAAGCTGTAATTGATGGATGATTTACTTGTCTTATTCTGCAAAGCATTTTTAGGTAGCTCTGTGGTTAAAATTTGCTCATTTGTCTGTCCATGATAAGTGCTCCTTTATCTGTCACCTCTTCATTCCATTCCCATCATCTCACAAAGCATACAAAAGCCAGTGTATCTTGCTAGAAATTGGAGTTTACCATGTATCACCCTTTGTTTAAATCCTCAGTGATTCTCTGTTGCAGATAGAGTCTAAATACCCCTGCTTAGAGGTCAAAGGCACTTTGACTGGGACTCCAAGTTCTCCATTATATTTTTATATCCTAACGCAAAGTGTTTGATCCAGGGATGCCCACTGAGCATCTCAGAGAACATAATGCTCCTGCCTACCTATAGGCATGTTTCCATTCTACCCTCTGCCCAGCATGTCCTTCCTGTCCTTTTCTTGCCCAAGTCTCCAGGTCAATGATCACATCTCTTCTGTGCTATGCCCCACTCATGCCTCAGGGCCTTTGCGCTTGCTGTTTACTCT